AATAAGTCGTTGCGCTGACATAGTGCTATCGATATTTACTGCTTGTTGGCAGTTGGAAAGGGAGCTATGAAACCACTTGAGTGGGAGACCCCTGACCCCATAATATGCTAATTTTTTAAGGAGAATTTTGTGGTCAATTGTATCGAAGGCTTTTTTTAGATCAATAAAAATACCAAATGTTACAAAGCCTTCATCCATTTTATCCACAATATCAGATACTAAATCGGCAAGGGCAAGTTTTGTATTAAATTTTTTATGGGACCTTGATGCAAATAATTTTGTTTTTCAGATAAGATTAAAAACGGCCATTTTGTTTTAATGAATGTGGTTCTCGTGCCATATCTTTGACTTGCTTTGACTGATTATGTTCAAATTTTAAATATTCATTATACATCATGTCATAGATAAACAGATGTATTGGTTTGACGATCCTATTCAAAATGGCCGAATGGTGGTCATTTTTGTGCAAAATATCAAGCATTTATGAATGGATTTCGTTCAAATTTGGTACATATATTAGACATTACAGGTTCCTGATGCACATCATTTATTTTTCAGATTGGATTCAAAATGGCTGTCTGGTGGCCATTTTGTTTTAATGATTGGGCCATATCTCTTAAATGCTTCGACTGATTATATTCAAATTTTATATATTCGTTATACATCATGTTATATATATACATGTATTGAAAATGGCTGATTTTGAATGCTGTTCCAGAGCAATATCTCTCAATATGGTACAATAAGTACTTTTTGACAATCAGATATAAATGTCAATCATTTTAATGTTAAAAAATCATATTCCTGACATGGTTATATTCCAGCTATATTACTATAAACAAAACTATATATCTTAAATTTGATAACTAACGGGGACTGTGCCATGCATGGCTTGTTTCATGTTGAAATTGACAAGTTCTGATTTCAGGAAAAAGTCTGCAATATAAGCCGCACTCCAAACTTTCACAAACCAAACAGCCACCACATATTTCAGAAAAAGATATACCATTTAATTTTAAATTAAGGCATAATTTTTCGAAGATTTCAATCTTTTCTGACGCCTAGTTTAGAGTCTAATTTAGGTTTTCCGTAGTCATTGACGCTTATACGAGAGTACAGTGTTTATTGTGGGTAGCGTGAATGAGTAAACTGTGTTTCGACAATGAACTGTTATTATCGTCAAAAGTGTTAAATTCTTCTTCAATGCTCAGCTTATCTTTCGAAAAACAACTAATTTCTTGATTTAAAAAAAAATCGTGACGTTTTCCCATCAAAATCAAATCTAAACGATCGCACTACAACAACGGTAAATCGATTGGTCAGATCAAGCATTTACATGTGACCGAAATCATTCGCTTGCGGTGAAACTAAGTTGAATTTTTACAAAAATTATTCAACAAATTTATTCTTTGTACATTATTGTAATCGCTACTGAGTAATAATCATCAATTGTAACACTTAGAAAACAAGTAAATTCACTACGTTCAATTACCCACCATAGACTCTGGTCAGTCAAAATGACAATTTTGAACTGTAGGCATTAATCAGCGATTCTGCCGGTGACGGAGAGATAGAATCTAGGTCAAAGGAAGCCCCATGACCCCAAGATTCTTTTTCCCCTTACGTCATGAACCACGTGACCGAGCCCATATGGCGATGCCATAGACGGCTGTACAATCACTCTGCTTTTTCTCCGAATCGAATGGAGATCAAGTCTAACGAGCTCTGCCTGGATCGCCTGCTTTTTTTCCTGTCCGGGTTTCTAGCTGGGGTTGTTGCCGCTGCCCGGCATCTGACATTGTAGCTGGTAGGATAAGTTTTCCTTGTCATTTTTACCCTCGTGTCGTTTTCCCCTTTGTTAAATAAAACCCGGGCGACGAAGCTTAATCACTTGTTGGTTTCGTCACGTCCCCTTTCCTACTGTAATTGTGTGTTTTTTCACTGGAGTTCTGAGGCCTGAGATTTTTCTTTTAGAGCCATCAAAATCGCTGAGACCGTCGCTCGTTTCTTCACAGCAAGGTCGCGCGTTCAGTAAACAAATCGGTTAAAGTGAGTGCGTGTTTGGCATGAGTGGAAAGTCCTCACGCTCGGCTACCGGTGCTTTGTGTACCGGGACGTCGAGTAGGAGGTTCGATGGTGGAGATACCGATACTTTTTCTCGGTCTCGCCCCGCTGATCGGAGGGCATCCTTACAGTCTGTTTTTTCAGGCGGTGGTTTACCCGATTTTACCTGCTGCAGCGAGGCTGTGCCCCTGGAGGCTTTCCTCCTATAGGGCCTGTTACGGTCCCTTTGTGGACCCTTCTTCGCACAGCGCTGGGTTTGCCTCCGAGTTGAGGGCTTCAGTCGAAGGACTGTCGGGGCAATTGCATCCCTGGCAGGCCGGGTAGATCAGACGCAGTCGGAGCCAGCTGTCTTCACTGCGGCTCCTCGGTGGGCAAGCAGGAAGAAACATGAAAGCATGTTTGCATTCAAACACGTCTCTTCAGTGGAACCCCCATTCCCAGCCGCGGCTCTCCCACTATTTTTGGGTGAGGCCGAGGCTCAGGCTAATTGCACCGGGCCTCCTCTGGAGCCTTGGGCACTGAATGCCAACGGGGTGCTGGCAGCCAAGACTCAG